ATGCACAATAATTTAGATATACATTCACTTGGAAATCCCTCCAACATGACTCGGGCAGACATGAGAATCAATAGCCATCACCTCAATATCTCTCCAAATAGCCCAACTATCAAGAAAAAGAAGAGGAAGTTCTCAGATGACATTAGAAATGAAATCAGAGAGGAGGCAAACAAATTCTTCAACTGGTTTCATCCGAGAAATGCAATGTCTTGATTTGGTATCCAATATTATTGTAGTCAAGAGTACTAATGATAAACGGAGAATATGCATTGATTTCAAGAAGACCAATGGTATGCGTCCTAAAAAATCTTATCCTCACTCTAACACAATTTTATGATACTCTATTGTTAGATCCTCTAACTTGAATTTCCTTGTTGCTTTCTCAGATTACTATCAAATCAAAATGTACTCAAGGGATACGGAGAAAACAAGCTTCATCATATGGACAAAAGAACTTTCTGTTATAAAATCATGTCACTTTGTTTGAAAAATGCAAGAGGATCCTATCAATTACTGATGGAAAAAATATACTAAACTCAGAAGGAAAATGCCTAGAATTATATGTAAATAACATACTGGTGAAAAACAAAGAAAATATGGTCATCTTTCTAACATGATTAAAACTTTCACCTCTTAGACAGTACAACATGAAGCTATACCTTAGCAATTGTCTGTTTGAAGCCCAGTCGGGCAAAATTCACATATCAGATATCAACGAAAGGGATCAAGCCCAACCCTAACAAGACAGTTGTATTAGAGATCATCTCACCAAAATAAATTCATGATGCAAGGAAGATGGCAAGCGAGCTATTCATCCCTTAGTTGCTGCATCTCCTGATAGAAAGAAAATAATGCTCCACTATTCAAAGCTCTTCTAAAGTTAAGCATGCTATATGAGATAATGACTATCAAACATATTTTCAAGAACTAAAAGTTATCACATATAGCCATAAGATATGAGAAGACCTATTTTTTGCATCTTAAAGCGGACAGTGATGTTGTTAGCTCAATACTTATCTCAGAAGAAGCATGAAAACATTATCACATCTACTACTTCATAGAAATTCTTAATGGATTGGAGCTTAGCTAGCCAACCCTCAACAAACCTATGATGCACCGACACTTCTCCTCAAAGAGGCGTGCAGTGTCCGACACCGTGTCCGACACGATACTCGCTATATACTCCTCCGACACGTGTCGGACACGCCGAAAACGTGTCCGATTAATAAATATTAAATATAAATAGGACACGCGTGTCCGACACGTGTATCTTAAATATTTTATGAATTTTTTTAAACAAAATTTCTTGTATTTTGCGGGATTTAAAATAAATTTCTTATTTCATATCCACAACACCTAATCAATGTCCGCACTTAATACCCAATCATCGAATATTCTCATTTTCATTTCTTTTTGACAGTGAAGGTATTTTCATCTCCTCTCTTGGTGACTGATAAACGACATCGACGCCTGACTCTCAACATCCTATACTAATCATTTTAAGCACAAATTCTAGTTAAATGACTTATTATTTTCAAATTATTTTTAAAATTATACTTATTTAATTTTTATACACTATTTTTTAAATATAAAAACTATAATAACGTGACCAACCATTGTCCGTGTCCTATATTTTCAATAATTGCATGTCCCGTGTCCGTGTCGTGTCGTGTCCGTGTCGCCGTGTCCGTGTTTGTGCATCATAGCAACAAACTCATTCTCAATCTTCTCTCAACATCAACAAGGTTGGATAAGTACTTCTACTCCCCCTAAAGTCCTTATAATGATGATACACCACTAGCAAATTTCATAGAAGCCCAAGCACTGAAAAAACAAATTGATGAAATGGTCCATAAAGTTCAATGACTGTGAAATCAGGTATATTCCTTACATGACGATCAAGTTACAAGAACTTAATGACTTTGTGCCAAATTCTCTATAGCTAAAGGTTTCTGAGAAGAAGTTAAAAGAAGATGGAGCCTTGGGAGAATAAAGCAATGGAGTTGTTTAGTACTCAAAGGCCAGTAAGGCAGTACTCTTTTCATCCATTAAACTAAATAACTTGGCCACAAAAATCATGTAGGGCATAACACACTACTCACTGGACTCAAACTCGCACTCCGAATCAGAGCTAAGAAATTGCAAATCTTCAGTAATTCTCAAGTCTCTGACTATTTTTTTGCTTATATGAAATCAAAGAATCATGTAATAAATCAGCAGAGTAAATTGATAAATCCTAAGATACAAAAATAATGATAAGCTTTGCATACCATGATTCAGGCAAGCATATAAAAATCATATTAACTTTTTCAGCATTAGCATACTTGTTCAAATACATTAATAAAGTGATATTTTTTATGAAACTAATATAAATGTCAGAACTTATTTCACTAGCACAATTATTTATAATCATGCATAAGTAAATTTATACATGATAGTTCACCTCATCAGTACCTTCATAATTAGCACATAATTTGTTCCAAGTTTTTTCCAAATTTATATTAGAAAATAAGCATATTGTCATCATATTGCATTGCATACAAAAATAATTCAAGCATTTTAAATTTAACTGAACTAATTTATATTCTTCTAATGTCTCTCATCAAATGGAATATTAGTAAGCTCTTCTTTCACATATTAGCATGAATGTAAATAACCTGTCAGTACCAAATTCTTCATGTAATAGTCAATTGATTGAATAAAATAGATATTTTAACCTTCCAGAAATAAAACGAGATATCATCAAATAAAGGTGATCAGGTAATGGAATATTATTTAGTGATGCCCTTATTTCTAAAGTATGTCATACGGATCCACTTTAGATTGTTAAATTTTTAAATAAAGAACCCGCTTGAATATAAATTGAACGGTTTGACGCATCAAGTAAGAGGGTGAATTGGTGCGATTTTAAAAATTGTTTTAAGATTTCATAACTTTTTCCTTTAAATAACAAAAATTTAAAAATAAATCTCATTTATTAAAAAAACAAACATGAGATTTTTTATATTAAGAAAATATATTTTAAGAATATTAGAAACATATCTCAAATCTGACAGAACAAGAGATTTCCTTAAATTTTTTTCGAGTCATTTGAAAACTTTATTCAAATCTCGCACCACAAACAAGCATTGTTCACAATGTTTCCCTGTATCATCACATAATTGTAACAAATAATAGTACTAAAAAATACAAAGTGCAAAAAATAAAGAATGAGCAAACAAATGTATAATGATGCATCTGCAAATTACCTACGTCCACTCAAGCCCACTCAATTTGTTTTATTTCTCTCTCCTTCTACCGCAAAGCAAACAAGCCTCTCTCCTTTATGGGTATTGGAGAAACTATAGTTACACCTCTATGCTAGCTACTCATGCTAACCTAATGGCTAGTTAAATAAGATTTTTACAATTTTTTCTAGATCCAAGATCTCACGCAATAAATAAAAATCTCAATCAACTGAATTTTCAAATGTGAGCATCAAAATGTGTTGAGAGGAAAAATATAACCTATGTATGTTCTCGCACTTTCTTTCTATAGAAACTCTATTCAGAGTTACAAATGATGGCTTATCAATTTCCAATAGCTTTTTGTCTATTCAAAAATTGAATTATTAAAATAATATAAATTGATCATGTTAATATTATGACAAAATAAGACAAATAGTTCATATTAGTATGATATATATATATATATATATATATATTAATTTGTGTTAACAAATAATAACAAGAATATCCATACTTGTTAATGGCGAATGGTGCACCATGACGCAAATGTCCTATTTGAGCCATGGCGCACAGCGCACGGCGCGGCGCGCACCATTTTGAACATGGCGCAAATTATAAAAGAATTATAAAATAATAAGCATGAATATGAAATATCATTAAATTGAAAAACAAACTACGATAATAACAAGCAAACAATGACAATACAAATAAATAACAATCCAACATAATTTCAAGTCCAATAAGTAGTCAATTTTCATACGACTAAAATATATTTAAATGAAAGCAAATAGCATTAAGAAGATAATAATATGCAATCTAACATTTATCTTAATACCTTTAATATATTTAAAAATTAGAAAATATGTCATCTTAAAAATTAAAAAAATAAATATAAAAAATATTCATAAATACATTAAGAAAATTTTAAAACAAATGGCGCACGCTATTTTGCGCCGTGCGGCATGGGCCATGGCGCGCATGTGGAGCAAATAGCGCGCGCCATTTTGAACGTTTGCGCCGCACCATACACATGGCGTCGTAGGTGCGCCGCGCCGCGCCATGTGCCATGGCACGTGCTATTTTGCTCCATTGACATCTATGAGAATATCACAGCTGTAACTTTGAAATTGAACCTTATCCTTCAGAATAATCAAGTCCTGAGAACTTTAGCTTTAGTTGATTGTACAATATGATCCATGATCATATAGTATGATCAGGTACCATCAATTTCTAATATTTTTGTACTAGATTTTATTTGCACTCAATTCTCTTATATGTAAGGTAGTCATCTTGACAACCCCAACACCAAGAAAATGATTTTGCATTTTGCCTAAATATTTTAATAATTATTAAATTTGTAGCAAATAGATGGCTCACATTTGGCATTTTACAAGTAGCATAAAAAAGTTGAATTCAAATATTAAGTGCAACATAGCAAAAAATAACATTAGCACCAAAACTAAAGAGTAAAAAAAAATTAAAGTTAAAGAAGGGGATGGCAAAATAGTGAAAAGCAACATACATGCAAAAATAAAACATAAAAAATCACATTCGGACTCTGAAATGAAGATCTGAATTTATTGCAAAGATGACATCAAGCAGTTCTTCAACTAATAAAAAGGGTAATCAATGTTTATATATCATCAAAGAATCCAGAAATACTATTTGTGACTGACTACGGCAATCATGCCACTGAAAAAAATTGAAAAAATTAACATACATAAAAAGAAAAAAGAAAAATAGCAATGAGTGGTTTGGATAAGTTAAAAGCACCTGTACGCATGTCAAAGGAAGCAAGATCTCCAGTACCAGTCCCCACATAAACTGTATGGCCATTCAGATCCTCCTTGACTACCTTGATGGGAGACTCTCGAAAATCAAAAGATACTACAGGTCTTCTTTGAGCAGAAATGTCATAAAGACGGATCTGTGAAAACAATCGACCAAACAATTGAATCATTTCTACATGAAGTCCTAAATCTTCTATTAAATTTCCAGAAACTATAGTGAGATATTTCTAAGTTCGCAAAAGCTAAGATACAGAAACCAAGAAAAATAATACGGCCAAAATGAAGAAAATCAAACCACAGGTAAAAGAGGATGAACATTTTTTAGTATTTTTCTAGAACAAGGAAAAGAGAAAACTGAAGCTTACAATGCTAAATTAAGTGTCCATATAGACAAATGTAAACAACTATACAATTCTTCACTAAAGATGGGCAGGTGAGTCCCATGTTGGAGATTAAACTTAATTTAATGTTAAACATAATTCAAAGTGAACAATCTATATTTCGCACGGGATTCTACGTGTTATATAGAAGTCGATGCATAAACCTGTTTAAAAGAGATAAATACATGCATGACACAGAATCTAAGGCATGTAAAAGTGATGCAAAGAGTCAAATTCAGAATAGAAACGTGGCTCTTAGGAAAAAAATGCAATAAGTGCACATGTAGCATTTTTATTATGTCCAGAAAGATCCATTGGTCTCTCTCTCTCTCTCTCTCTCTCTCTCTCTCTCTCTCTCTCTCTATATATATATATATATATATATATATATATATATATATATATATCCTCCAAAATTGAATTTCTATTTCCTTAGTCATATCATGTTGCCCTGTTCTATTTCTTCTATTTTTTTAGCAAATTGATATCAAAGCGGCCTTAACAACCAATGACAATCTCCTTTTAAAACACATTTCTTCATCTTATCTGATGTGAAACCACTAGGAATTGCATTTGAAATTATAAAGAAAATTGATTGAGCGTTGTAATATAAACTAATGTTTCACAAGATTGGATGCTTAGAACTTAAGGATATCAATAATGTATGGGCAATTAGTTACAAGGTAGAGTAGCATTCACTTGAAAAACAATTTAATTCGTAAAGATAAGCTTAAATATTGTAAACAAGAAATCCCACAATCAACAATTAGAAAAGTCACCTTTGAGTTTCCCTCACTCACGTTTTTAGTAGGGGCTAGTGGAAAGAGAGTCTCAACAAACCGAACAATGCCAACAAAGTTGTGAAGATAATAATGGTTACAATCCAACAAAAGTTCACCGGAGGAGGAGTTGTGTGAGGACGACCGGTGATTCCCCAATGCCCAGTTGGAAGGTTGTATGCTCTTTTCGTCTTAGAGATGTTAATCATGAGAAGAGCAAACCCAAGAGATGAGAGAGGAAGGAGGGGTTGGCCAAAGAAGAAGAGGGAACTTCTTGGCCATGTTAGGGTTAGGATTTAGGTAGGAGCCTAGAAGGAAAAGGAGAATAAATCTGAAAGTAATTTCAGATTTGGAATTAATTGATGGGAGGGAAATATGAATTTGAATTTCAAATCCAAAGCTTGGGTGGAGTTAAAGTGGCGAGAGAAGGGGAAATTGCCTAAGGGAGGCCGGCGGCATGCATAGGGTATGGGGGGAATTGGGAGGGAAATTAATGCTACCTAATACATTAATCCAATTTAGGAAAAGGATAAATAATTCAAATCTAATTTAATATTAAATTAGACTCAAATTGAAAACTTTCCTAATTTGACGTAGTTAATTTAGGAAAGTATTTAAAATTCAAATTTTGAATTTCAAATAGAATGAAATCTTTCCCAAATTATGTAAGCTAAATTAGGAAGATCTTAATGAAGATTGAAATCAACATTAAGAGGGGGGGAAGGGGATGTGGCCGGCGGTGGCTTGGGGATAAGGGGCTTGATCGGTGGTTGGAGCTAGAGGTGGGGAAGGCCAGTGGGTTGATGGAGGATGGGGAGGCCGGTCGGTGGAGGAGGCCTGCTCGGGGGCCAAGGGTAAGGGGTGGACGGGTTCAGGGAAGTCGGCGGTGGAGCAAGAGGAAAGGAAGTCTGACCATGAGCCCCGGACACCTCCGACAACTAGTAGGTATTGTTTTGCCCGCACCCTGAGACTTCACCACTCAAGAACTCACAAGCTCAAGAGAGAAATCAGAGATTTTAATTTCATTCATCAATAATCCTCATACAACGGTTAAGACCTTATATATAGGTCTCCAAACAACTAGAAAGAAAAAGACAGGAATGACCTCAGGGCTACAACTCATAACACATAATAAATAAGGGTACAAACGGCAAAACTCAAATAAAATAACTAACACAAAAAATATATCAAAAATGAAGACTCCTAATCGTAGCCGTCGATCTACGATGCTTCCGGCGATAAACATTCTGGAATCTCTTACTGATGTCCACATCATTATCAATACAATTTATGGTGATAAGACGTAATATCCTTTGAAATCCTCCAAAATTATATATCCATTTTGTTGTCCAGATAGTGTTTCCGTACTCTATTTCTTCTAATTTTTATCATCCTATTCCCAAATGCATGCTCCCATTTTTTACGATGCACTGTTCTCAGGACAAAGATGATTTTTTTTCACTGCTTAAGGAGAGGTTTTTATATTATGATTACAATCAAGTTCTAAAAAGTAGTGTAACGTTCAAAAATTTATGGCAGTGCATACCTGATAATTATTTGTCCCAGCAACAATTTTTCGGTGATCTTCCCTGCTAAGGAAAGTAGCTGCAGTGAAACATGTTGGAGAGAATATTCCAAGGCTGTTGACACGAGGCTTCAAAGAAGAAAATTAAAAAAAATTGTTTCATTTCTGGAATAACGTTTCCAACTATGATAATATGATGCAGTCAGACAAAAAGAATAGAATAAAATAACCTACAAGTTTGGAAGTCCAAATCCTGTTATAGCTCTCGAGATCCCACATATTAAGTTCAATGCCCCTTCTGAATTACAATAGGGTAAATGATATATAAAGTTTACAATAAAATGTCTTATCCCATCAAATTGGGAAACAGTAGTTTAAGGAAAGTAAATATTTCCGAGAAAAATATTATCATCGTACCCTCCAAATAAAGCATAGTTCTCTTCTGAATCTACCGATGAGCATATAACTTTACCAGCAGTGCTTACATCCCAGTTCCTAGAAGTAGGCACAGCTGAAGCATCTAGTGATGATGCCTCCTTCAATGGAATTGACCTCAAGCATGCTTTTCCTTTTTCTGTACATATAAGTAGCACACTTAACCTGAAAAGCACAAAGCCATAACTAGGAAACTTACAAAACATCAAATGAGCAGAAACAAGAAACGTTTTCTTGTTTATTTTAATTATGAAGAGCAATGCGTGAAGGGAATAAGAAAATAAAAAAATCAGAAAAAAATAACTTCTAATGCAACAATGTAAGAAAACCATAAATTACATATCTTACTCAAGAAAAAATTCCATCTCAGTACAACTTGATCTCTTGGAAAACTTATGTTGCAGAATAAATAGTTTTGATAGCATGCAATCAACAACAAATCAGCAATCGACCCAGAAGAACAAACAAGCTTGGCAGAACAAAAAATATGAACTGTTGCGAGGCAATGATGGTTATTCAATACCAGAACTGGGACTTAATGATCAGTAATTTGTCCTAGGGAAACAGCTTATCAAGCATCTTAAGTAAAAGAGGACATACACATAGTACCAAGATGATGTGAATGCAGGAATATTTGCAAACTAGCGCAAGTTCAAAATTAGCATTTCTTTATTCCACAGAAGATCATAAAAAGGGAAAGGCTTGTGTTCAGACAGTCTAGAATGAAAATTGAATGCAAAATGTATGTTTCCAAATACGTGTTTCCTCCACCTAGCTTTCCCATTAACATAAGAAGTATATCCTACAATTATTACATTTTAAGCATATTAACAGCCTTCAGTTGCACATTTTAATTGCTACAATTTTTAATAAGAATGGTAAAAAATATAAGAAAAACAATTACCTGGAGGATAGCGCAGTCTTCTTTGTTCTGAACAAGTGCAACCCGACAACTGGATCATCTTCAGTAGAATGATTTGACAATCCAAGCTCACAAACCATAACTTTAGCCAAAGCATCCCCATTCAAGGGGTTAAGAAGTTCAACCTACGATTCATAAAAATCTAATAAATGCTATTAATTAAAGAATCTAAGTGCCCTCATTTTAGATAAGCAGCAAATTAAACATGGCCCAAGGAGAACTTACCACACCATTTCTCCTTGCAACAGCTAGAAGCTGCAAAACGCTCACAAAAATTTAGTAACCAACTTATAATTGGTAATCTTTGATTTCAAAAAATAATAAAAATTGATCATGACTGAATTAAATGTAAAATGTATGACTAAGATTGTTTCTGATGAAAAAAATTGTTGTTAAGATATAAGTTGCAGTTATATAACAGTTATTTGCAACTTCTGCAAAGACCAAAAGAATATAATAAAAAAAAGAAAAGTCTTTAAAAAACTAATAAACTTTCATTGATATTGATTTAAAGTGCAAGCCGGGCATTCTTTCAGGAAAATGCCAAGGCTTCTATCAGGTAAATACAAACTGAAGTTCATAGCAAGTACTCGTTCTTCAGAAAAATGCCCATCATATCCATGAAACACCACACTATTGCAAAGGTATTTTAGAAAATTTTGTATTTAATGACCAGCATGAGTCATTGTGCAAATTGTACCAAGATATATGAAAATGTAGAATGCAAAAAAGGTAAAGTCCCCAAACACAACAGAATACATAGGCAATGCTTGTACATACATCTTATCCAATTGAGGGTAGAATAGTTGGTGTAGCACTAGATGACAGAAAAGTTCCAACCACCAGGGCTTAATCCAAGAAAACTGTAGTTGATCATCATATATGTCAATGGAGTAAAATGACGCGCATCATGCAGCAAAGCGCGACACATATACGGCATTGTTTGCTTGGCGCAGCACGGCGCATCATAATATCGAGCACTATCTGTGTCATGTAAAGGCAATGGTGCATGGCGCAAATAGTGCACAATTAATTATTGATTGATGAAACATCAAAAAAAAATTTAAAGGATTTAACTTTTTGTAGGATTTAAAACTATCATTTTTGCTATTTGGCATGATTTAGGCTAAATTATGCTTAAATATCGCTTAAATCTATTGATGTAAGTTTATGTAGGATTTAAAGTTGTCATTTCCTATTTGTTATATATATATATATATATATATTGATGTAAGTTTATGTAGGATTTAAAGTTGTCATTTCCTATTTGGCATGTATAACAAACAATAGGCTGAGAATAAATAAACTTACATCAATATATATATATATATATATATATATTGTGAGCCATGTTTAAAATGACGCACACCACACCGTGTGCTATGCATCATGGCTCCACAGGTAACTTGTGTCGTGCTGCACCATTCGTCATTGACAAGTATGTTGAGCATAGTGTAACCTTCACCAGGAGAAATTTTAAGACCCTTAGAGAATTTAATTTATCTTTTTATAATTATTTATATTTGAAATTTTATGTGGTCATGTAATTATATGTCTGAGAGACCTAGTGTTTGTAGTGTGGATTTTATATGTTAAATGGCTAAGGGAAGCACTTCATTAAATTAATTAACTCATGTGTGGGAGTGATGAGGTTAACCAAGCAAGTGGCTGGGGAGAGTGAATTACCGACCAAGCATGGAAAGTTGGAGTAATTAAGGTGGTTGCTAGAGTAGGCCACCCACTCCCTCTTTCCCTCATTTATAAATTCATGTTTATCTTGTGTAACTTGTATTAAAACCTAATTCGCTGCGAAATGAAAAAGAATGATGTGTTTGTGACTAAATTTTAAAGAAAAAATTCATTGGTTCGAGCTTGCTGGTCGGACAAAATATGAGGGGTTTGTTAATCCTTCTTATGACTACAACTTGAGTGAATAGTAGGATTTATCATGTTTTTTTTTTAGGATTTATCATGCTTTACTTCTTGTTTTTTTTTTTTTTTTTTTTTTTTTTTTTTTTTTTTTTTTTTTTTTTGTCCAATTAGTCATTCCCTGCTCCAAAAAATTATAATCCTAATTTTGCTAGCATTCAAACCAACCGTTTGAGGGATTTTGTCAGAATTCGCCAAAACTAGGTTAGAACTAACCTAATTTCAGATTGCCTTCACTTTGGTGATTTAAACTCCTCTAAAACATTCCAAAAACTCTAGATTCATAGCAAGAATCCAAGGATTTAATCTCCATACATTTATTTCGGGATCTTACTCACTAAAATCCATAGTTCTAGAAGCCCTAAATCACTTTCAGCCTTCTGCCAGAAGAGGGAAATCTCAAATCAAACTAGCAAAAAATTCAAGAAAAATTATAAAACCTCCACAAAAAATCACCAAATTCTTTATATCCTAACTAGATCTCTTCAGCTTTACATTGGTTTTTATTTCATGCCATTTGGACTTTTGGAGAAAAAGTTACAGGGATTTGAAACTAGGGCACTAGATCCTAGTTGATTGTTGAAATTGGGTTGGCTGACCACTAACTTCTCCTTAACCCTAATTCCACTCAAATTTAAACTTCATCGAACATAGCCTTACTCTCCTAAGCATCTTAAGAGAGACCAATTGGATCACAATTGTGATCTAAATCCCACACAAGCAGCATCACCAATAATTCACACATCAAGAAGAATGAACATAGAAGAGTTAAAATAGAACAAGAAAAAAGGAAGAGGTGTACTTAGAAGAAAGAAGATTACAGTAGAGATGAAATAATATTAAACAATATTAAGATTCTTCTAATATTGTAATGGTAACCTTCAAGTGCATGATTCGGACAACATTCATAAAGAATAAAATGGGAATACCAAATAAAAGGCTCCATTAAAATAAAGGGTAATAGACAGCCAATGACAATTTGGGCCTTGTCAACACGTTCAATGTCTATGACCTGAGGTTTTCTTGTGAATAAATATAAATCCATGTGATATCTCTATATAAAAAATCGAACAAAAATCAGTCAATTTTTGAATGGGATAATGCTCAAAATAGGAGCTTTATATTAATTCCCATGCTTTGCCAACAACTATTAGCACAATAAATGCAACTCTGAGCTAGTTTTTGTCAAACTGTAGCATTGTTATACAATAAATTAGCAAAAAAAAATTGGTGGCACATCTTGTTTACTGAAACATAGAATATGAAAAGACCACTTCAACATAAAAGAATTCCAGATGCAAATACAGAACGAACTAAAATCTTAATTGAAACACAGGTCGCAGGTACTGCAAGGATTTTCTATACATTGTTCTATAATTTTCAAATTGCAGCTTAGTTGCGTTAGTGAAAACAGAACATGGGAAATAGTTTTTCATGATTTTTACGATAAAGAAATTATAAATCACCAATTAGTACAACAATGAATAAAAATAATGCAAGATATGCAGTGATGAACAAACCGGATTAGTCTGACGATCAGCAAAGGAAGTTGCCAGCACAGATCGTGAAACATCAGGAGAACCCCATGTCTCAACCAACTTTGGAGTCCCAACCTTTCCATGAGCTTCCACGACTAAAACATAGAAACGATCAAAAAAAGAAAATTCAGCTTGCCAAAAAAATAACATAGCAAATGATAAATTTAAAAATTTTACGGGTCATCACCCTTAACAAGTCCAAGCACATCCGTAGTTAATGCTCTTAAGGGAGGACAACCAGGGGTCTCCACTGTGGTTATTCTCGGCATATTTTATATTGTTGCGGAGCTCTAAAACAACAGGCAAACACAGTGAAACAACCAATAAGTGCAATAAAAGAATACAGAACAAAGATTACTCCTACCAAACACGATTTGAGTACATATTAAATCTCACGGCCAAATAAATCCTCCGTTTCCCTTCTTTTGCCGTAAATCCTGGATATAATAAATTCGGAAGTTCGGCGGATTAACGGGATTTGGCCGAATAAGCGCGCAAAAGGTAAGAAAGATGATTACCTACAAGGCGAGCGAACTCCCCTTGTTACTTCCGATCCAACAGGAAGAACGTCGTCGAACGAGGCGAAGAACTTTGATGGTGAAGAGAGAAAGCAAACCCTAATAATTAATACTGAAGTATAAAATAATTAAAGATTTATTAAAATAATATAATAATTATTAGTGTAAGTAGCAATCAAATAATTAATTAGGTTATTATCAATGTAATTAATATTGAAATATTTTTTAAAATAATACCTACATAAATAATTAGATAATTATTACTATAATTAATAATTAAATTTTAAATTAAAATATTTTTAAAAAAATAAATTAGATTTAAAATACAAACTAAATTGAAACATAAATTAAATTTGAATTTATAATGAACTAACTATCTTAAATCCTAAGTTATACTGGCAAATAGTTTCACAGAGTTTACTAAGATTTAAAATCTTTTTGTCAATCAATTTTTTTTTATTTTACACCCTCAGGATTTAGTAATTTCAATTTTACTGAATTTACAAAATCATACTCAAGTTAAATCATATTTTATGTAGAATTTGAGCAAGATTTATGCCAAACGAGATTTAAGAATCCTGTAAATCTCATGATGAGATAAATTCATTGTGTGCTTGGTTTTTGCATAAATCTTATATTTAATTTACGGGAGTTGGATGAAGAAGTGCGTGAATAGGAGAAAAAATGATTACATGTACAACAAGTTCCCATCTTGACTTTCAACATGAGAAAAATTGTCAAAGGTGGCCATGAAACTTCTTTATGGACTCTTTCAAATCTCTACTTCCAACAATGCACATGCACGCGAAGCCTAAGCAAACCTAGGAATTAATCATATTAGCTTCAACAACAACATTAAGTCCTTATGCCACAACTTGGGGTAAGCTACATGAATCATTTTTCTACATTTGTGTACTGTTACGAATCAAATTGTTATTTAATTTAATAAAAAAATCATTTCTAATATTTTCTAAATAGGTCTTTTAGGTCTACATGTAACTTTCTTAATAAAGGCCAAATCTAATAAATCTACTCTCCTAATCAGAGCATCAAAAGGCCGCATTTATGTGTCCAAACCATCTAAGGTGACTCTCTCTAATCTTAGTTGTCATTGAGCTACTCTAATCCTTTCACATATATACTTGTTTCATTGTATGTCTCTAAGAATGAAGCCACTCATCCACCAAAGCATCCTTATATCTACAAAACTTAACTTAATTTTATGTTTCTCTTTTAATGACCAACACACCATAAAGCATTGCAGTCTCACCACCATCTTATAAAATTTTCCCTTAAGTTTTAGTGGAACTTTTCTATCACACAACAGGTTGGATGCATTCCAATCAACCATCCAACTCGAAATATAATAATAATATCTCCATCTATTTTCACCATCACTTTGAACAATAGACCCAAGATATCTAAATTAGACTCTCTTATTAATGACTTGATCTCCTAAAGTCACAATCCCACGGCTAGATCTATCACTATCAAAATTACACTTCATATATTCGATTGTAGACTCTAAGGTTGACCTCCATAATTCATGTTTTCCTTCAACTCCCTCTCTTATTTTATATACATGAATACAAATGCCAAATAAGAACATCCATGATTATAGAAAAAAGATACATGCTTAAAGCTAATCCTGTTGCAACTCGGGCTTCTAAGCTTATGATTTTGATGATAAAAAATTGTTGAAACTTGATTTCTATGAATTAGATTGTTAAACCTAAGCTTATGTCCCACTGCTAACCAAGAGGGGGTGAATTGGTAATTTAAAAATTAATCCCTCTTTTTAATTTTTAAATCGATAAATAAACTTTAATGAGTTTTGTAGAAAATGTTTTTCAACCACAGTTTTAAAATTAAAAAACATAAAAATAAAAGGCAGCGGAAAAAATAAAGATAATTGGTTTAGAGTGGTTCGGTCAAAACCAGACCTACATCCACTCCCCGGAGGCACCTTACGAGTATTGCACTAATACCAATAGTGACTCTCCTTTTGCACCCACAGCAAGGCGGAGAAGCCTTTACAAACACTCTTTCCACCACTACCCGGTGCGGTAGAGAACCGTCGTCCTTTTACACTATCCCCAGTGCTGGTAGAGAACCTTCGTCCTTTCACACTCTCATAGTGTGGGCAGAGAATCCTTTGTCCTTTCATACTCTCCTAGTGTGGGCAGAGAACCCTTCGACTGTTCACACTCTCTAAGTGTGGGCAAAAAACCCTTCGGCTGTTCAGACTCTCCAAGTGTGGGCAGAGAACCCTTCGGCTATTCTCACTCTCCAAGTGTCGGCAGAGAACCAGATCTCTTTGACAGATCTTCTCACAAGAATTCTAGAAGAAAGAGATAAATGAGTGAAGTAATCACAAACCAGTAGTAAAGACTCTTACCTTTGAGTACCAAGTGAAACCTTCACGCTTCAATGGCAAGAAATCTCCTTCAAACACTCTCTCACACTCTCTCCTTGACTCTTCTTTCAATAGGCATGAAGATCAGTAGGAAAAAAGATATTATGGCAATTTAGTTTGGACTATTTATAGGAAAGACACAAAAAACTGCAAATATTCAAGTCAATACGTATTGGATTGTCCCGTACGATCGTGGATCGTCCTGGACGATTTTACTTAAATGCGTTGGAAACGAACCTAATGTATATGGGTACGAAATGACTTCGTACACACACATCATCCCGTACGAACTAGGTTCGTCAGGTACGAACAGTTATTCCATAGGTCAATTCTCAAAAACTGCAGAACGACACTTAATTTTCAGAGTCGGTTCACTTCGTCCTGGGAATTATTTAAGTTTCGTCCGGATGAAAGTTTTACAGAGAGCAAATTGTCCCAGGACGAATACACTTCGTCCTAGACGATAACACTCCAGAGAGTAACTCGTCCTGGAACGAATACACTTCGTTTTTGAACGAAATTTTTTAAGAGAACATCCTGGGACGAATACACCTTGGATGACCAGGACTTAGAAAAATTTTCTTCGACTCCTGCTCGTTCCATTGCTCTTTTGAGGAGATAACTTACTTGATCATCCCGTACGAACTATGTTCGTCCCGTAAGATCAGTACAAATTTCTCAAGATCTCCTTAAGTGTGTGTGTGTATTCACTCAATTATAATCACTCCCTTCAAGCTTAATTCAAAGAAAATTACAAGTTTTAAATACACAAAGTATCTTATGCTGAATTTGATTTGAAGTCTTTGTAGTCTGGAGTTTGATTTTCCTGAAATGTTAGTACACACAAAAGTAAAAATAACTCTTCCAAAAAGTGTTAGGAGATAACTATACATAAAACAATAATATTTGAAATCATCAAAACTATACAAGTTGCAAGACTGTCAAACATGCAAATAGCAACTCTTTTAATAATCTCCTCCTTTTTTATGATGACAAAATAATTATTGTTTGTATAATTTTCAAATAAAAAAAATCTCCTAAACTCCCCCTGAATTGATGAACACGTGTAAATAAGGAGGTATTTTTAAAAATATACAGATAAAACAAACACACACAACGTATACATCAAACAAAATTACAAAAAAAAAATAGAACAAACAAAATAAAGAACACGATACAAATAATTTCTCCCCCTTTTTTACAACAACAAAAAGTAAAGAAGAAAAAGACTTGAAATGTAAGCAGATATATGAAAATCATTTGATAATTCAATCTTGAAAGTGATTAAAATATGTTATGCAAATAAAATTAAAACATTAGGCAAATCATTTTAATTCATAGAATTTAAGAAGAGATATAACATTGATAATATAAAGAATATATATCAAAAGCATGAATCAATTTAGACACTAAGATAAAGAAAATCATTGCAAAAAAGATGAATAGAGAATTTGTATATTTCAAATTTCAATACATAATATAAATATACAGTAGATCAATTTGAATTAAGAGATTAAAAGATAATGGAAAGAAATAATTACCACATGTAGCGCTTTGCGCATATTTTTCAAATTATTGGCACATTTTTGTACATCTTTTTATTTTTGAGCTTATTTTGTGTCTCTTTTCTACTTGAGAACCATTACTCATTTCTTTTGATTTTTATACATTTGTATATTTTTTCAATAGTAATTTTGATCTTTTCAAAATCAATAATAAAAAATTTTAAATTTTTCTAAGTGCATAAATATTTATTGATAAGTGAAATATAAAATAAGAAAACATCATAGTTGCAATAATAATATTAGAATTAATGTAGTCTAAATAAGAGACATAAAATTGATAATTCTAATTATATCAAGTTATAAGCAGAACTTAAATTTAGAAAAAAATTAGATTTTCTAATGAATTTAATTTAGACACGCACTTCAAAGTATATCACTATTAAGATCAAAAATATAATGATTGTCATAAAGGCTAACACACATTTCAATACAATTAAATCCAAAATACATGAACATATATTGATATCACTATGAAGATATTACAATTTAAGGCCAGGATATCAATACAGAAACAAAACATCTAAAGAAAAGAAAATACAACAAATTTACTTAAAACACATCTAAAACACAAACTATATAAAATACATAAAACTAAGTGCAACAATCACTGAGAAGGACCCTGATCTGATGGAGGAGGAGGAGGTGCAGCACCAAAGATGTTAAAGTAAGTACTCATTATAAGTACAATTGTACTGATATCATTTATCTGATCCCTCATAAAATTCATATCATGCTGATACTATGCGGCCTGTTGTTGAAGATGAGTCTCAATTTAATCAAAGCATTGATCAAAATGAGTCTCTAAGCGATCAAATCTTTGAACCAAATCCTGATAATTTGGTTCATTGGCGGGTGTAGGTGCAGCTTCTAGTTCTTCTTCTGTATCACTAATGACATGAGTTTTACTTGGTTCTTCTTTGAAGATTGCTCTAAATGATTCATCGTTGTAGTAGAGTGGTTCTTCAAACTCTTGATCAGCATGAACCAAATTGTATTTCTTCTCTAGAATGTAGGCAACAAGATGTCCTAAGGCGATGTTTATCTTTCTTTTATGCTCTACATGTCCAATTTCAGACAGCCCATAAAGATAGTCAAGGATAAATTAGG